GCACGCACACACACACCAGACTCCATGAAAACATGAATCCAAAGGAGATGAGAGCAAGGGTACATTCATTTTTGAAGTCCTATGAACTCCAACTTGGCAATGCATAGGTGACCTACAATATGTGAGAGAGACAGAGACAGAGACAGAGAAAGAGAAAAAGAAAAGCATACCCATTTCCGGAGTCTCAGCTCTTGTTGGACAATTGATGGATAACAAACATCAAGTATGACATCATAGGCATTAACATAGTTACCAACTTCCCGATTGGCTTTCTCCATGGCATCATCACAGGCCATGGACACATTGTGAGGGGAGTTGCCAAGGACATAATCATCAAAGTTGCATTGGTCCAAAATAGCAGAGCCAGTTTCATCAGAGATCAGCCCATGAGACCAAAAGTACTGGTAACTTGCTGCTGCATCGACATCAAGCTTTAAAAGTGGATTTCCAATCTACATAAACAGGCAACACCAAAAAATAAATAAAAAAAATAAAGAGAGTGAGTAAATACATTAAAGGGAGAAAGTTCATATATAATCTTTGATACATTAAAGGGAGATAGTTCATATATTGTCTTTGATACTTACGGCTATTCCCTTGATATTGAACTTGAATTTTGTAGAGTGTGAATTGTGGTCTAGTAGAGCGTCGGCCAATTGAGGTATATAATGTCCTACAGTGGGTCATGATGGGTAAGAAAACTAAACAAAACAAAGAACATTGAGGCATAAGGATCTTGATATATTCATTGGTTCTCAGACCTGCATAGCTTTCTCCTGTGAGAAACAAGTCTCTCGTTTTGTATTCGGGGAACTTATGAATCCATCCCAATAGAAATCTAAGCATATCCTTTGCTGCAAAAGAATGTAAGGTCAAAGTTCTAAGCATCGAACTCATGTGAATTTCAGTTTCAAGAACTCACGTGCTACATATCAATAAAACTTGATATACTATCTATCTATCTATCTATTTTGATTTCAAATCAGATGGCTGGGGTATATGGTTGACCTCACCCAAAGTTGAGAAAATTTTCCTCAGATTTTTAGTAGAGTAATATTATGCCCCAGCCGTCCGATTTCAAATCCAATGTCCTGGAGTGATGTGACTTATTCATACCAAAGCAAATGGTCTCAATGTATACAGTCCGTATGGATGTTTGGGCTCGAGCTTACCAGTGGAGGCATCACCACAGGTATAATCAGCAGTTGTGTTTGAATAAGACCAACCAACACCAGCAGGGGACTCCACAAACAGAAGATTTGAAACTGCGGAATGCAACAACTAAAGTCAATAACTAGTGATCTGCATTAAGAAGGTGGCGAGTAATGGAACTTTTTCAAAGATAAGAATGCAGTTTTATGCACCAAGTAGCATGGAGTGCGTCGAGAGGCGACAAATAGCATGGAGAGAGAGAGAGAGAGAGAGAGAGAGAGAGAGAGAGAGAGAGAGAGAGAGAGAGAGAGAGAG